CAGGGGCGCGCGCCAGCGTCAGCTGGGAAATGTAGTCCTCTCCCCGCGTCCCGCTCGTCTCCACGACGGCGCGGACTGTCGCGACCTCGTGACGGGGAGGTCCTCTGCGTCCTGCAGACGGGAGGCAGGAGAGGGGCGAAAGAAAGAGGTCATCGCTGGCGGGCCTCCTGGCACCCGGGATGCACCAGCTGCGCCGATGCGGCAGCCAGTGTTCATCCATGTCGTCCTCAAAGAACCGTGATGTTTCCCACAAATCAGTAGTTACAGAAGTTATTATCGGGGAACCATTCCCTCACGAGTACACGGTGAGTTAATATTCAACAAATACAGACTGAGACTTATTATGTACCCAGAGGTTGACAATCAGAAGGTCATGGGTATGAGAGGCACCTGTTCTGGGATACAATGGAGTAAAATACTGTTTACAATACAGCATGAAAAGTGCCCTGGTACTTCCTAGAGGAGGGCCATTATCTCAGTCCAAGGAGTCCCAGAGAACCTCCTGGAGAATGATTACACAGCAACTGGAGGATTTAGCCTAACTCTCCATGACGTTTTTTGCTCTCTCTGTGACATCAGACAGCCTCAAGTCTGTATTTTGAAAACAGATTTGAGGGACTCTGTTTTCTCAGGCTGCTTATTCCATTCTCCTCTGATTCCAAGTGATAGAAATTATTGAGGATAAAACAATAATAAAAATAATTATCAATATAATTAACACTTGTATATCATTTTACAGTTTTTCAGAGTTCACATATATTGTCATTTGATCCTTAGGTCAACAATTTGATCCGAATTATTGTTCCCATTTTAGAGAAGAGAAAATTAAGTCTTAGAGTTGTGCCTTTCAAATGCTGTAGCCACTAGCCACATGTGGCTGTTTTTACTTAAATTAAAAATTAAGTTCCTCAGTCAAACTAGCCACATTTCAAGTGCTGACCCTGTGACTAGTGACTGCTGTACTGGACAGCAAAGACATAGAACATTTCCATCATTGCAGAAAGTTCTGTTGAACAGCACTGGCTTCCAGAATGTAAATGATTCACTCCAAGGCCCCCTGACTAGTCATTAAATAGACTGGGACTTGGGTCCCCTGCTCTATGTCTGAGTCTTTTTCCACAACATCTCCCTGGTTGACACATGTGTTTGTGTAACTTTCATTTTTATCCTAGTTCTGATTCTGTAAGATATGCTGAGGTGAGTGGATTGCCTGAGCCCGCGGTTTGAGACCTGCCTGGGCAGCGAGACCTCATCTCTACAATAAATCAAAAAATCAGCCGGGCGTGGTAGCGCGCGCCTGTAAATCTGGCTTCTTGGAAGGCTGAGGCGGAAGGATCGCCAGAGCCCAGCAGGTGGAGGCTGCGGTGGCTGCAGTGGCCGGGAGCGGCCACTGCACTCCAGTCTGGGCGACAGAGTGAGACTCCATCTCAAAAAAAAAAAAGAATCTTCTATATGATGTTCCTGGGTGATGTTTTTCTCCTTCCCTGTGGGAAATTTTTTTTTAACCCCTGCCTCGTGGCATGGTTACAGGTTCCTTCACCATCGTGATGATTCGAAAATATACTCCAGTATGTCAATGTCCCAGCTAAAGTGTGGGATACAGAATTAATTAGGTATAACTTAGATATTGTTTCACAAACAAACAATAGAGAAAGACACTTTTCTTCCTTGTCTTCCTGAATTCCTGCCTAAGAGGACATTCTATCATATTTTGGTAATCACATATCATTGAGCTTATTGTCATTTCAAAAAACTTCCCCCAAATCTTCAAATCAGTAAGGCACTTAAGAATCCAATACATAACATGCAATTTTAGCCTGAACAAGGTTTCAGTAGTACACATTAGATCTTAATGCAGGATATTCCATAATAGTTACAGTAAAAGAAAAGAAGCCTGGCGCCTGGAAAAGTTCTTCATTTCTCTCTACATCATGGACCCAAATTCTTAACTCAATTACCTTAGTGGGAAGAATGAATCATACAGGTTTATCATTATTGTGCAGCTCTAAATATACTTCTTAATTTTTTATTTTTAAGATGTTTGAAATATTTAAAATAATTTCATAGGTGAAATACAATAGCTTAATGTAGTAAAAATTGAAATTTTTTTTAAAGAAGTTGTCTTTTCTCAGTATGCTATAACAAAAATACTGTAGACTGGGTTACTTTAACAATAAACACTTATTTCTCACAGAAAGACTGGAAAGTCCAAGATCAAGCCACTGGAAGATCTACTGTCTAGTGAGGACCACTTTCTGTTTTGTAGTCAGCAACTTCTCCCTTATCCTCACATAACCCAGAGAGGGCCAGCTCTCTTCCTCTTCTTATAAGGGTTCTAATCCCATCATAGCAGTTCCTCCCTCATGACCTAACTACTTTCCAAAGAACTTGCCTTCAAATACCACCACATTAGGAGTTCAACATACACATTTTGAGGGGACACAAACATTCAGTTCTTAGCAGAGCTTAAGAAGACGTCATCTGTCAGAATTGTACACCTGAATTGTTAGGTGCTTGTAGGGTGGGCATGTCTTGCCAGGCAACAATAACTCAAGCATATCCTGAAAATGACCCTAGTTTCCTGGCAAATGTTTGTTTAGTGTTTCAAGGTATGGACTCCAGGAACAGCCAACCCAGATATTTGTCATACCTATAAAGAATACCTAGACCCTGGTCCATCCCTTGAGACATTAGATGCACAAGGAACTGAGGCCCTGTGTTCTGAGTTAAATGGAGGTTGCTAACTAAAGGTTAGCTAAATAGAGGTTACTATGTGAAAGTTACTGTATAACCAGCATACTTGCCACAAATGGTAGCAGTTTTTTCCCTGTCCATTTGGCTACCCCTGGACTCCCTGTGTGTAAGTCTGCAATAAGCCCCGTATCTCACCCACAGTCTCCACTATCTCCAGGTCTTTTTATTTGGTCTCTCAGATACTGTGTTGTCTCCGTAAGACTCACTGGGGGTCCGTCATGACAAGTGGTGAGTCAGACAGGAGGGTGAAAATAAACCCATGAGCACCAAGATGGTGGGAGCAGCTAACCGTCCACATCTATGTGGGACCCTATAGGCGCTGTCCTTGATGGATAGGGCCCACCATGTGAATTCAGGGATACCCCAAAAACATCAAAGGGTCTGGAAAAAGTGTTGCAGGGGGTGGTCAGATGCCTCAGCCATAAGCCGTGTTGGCCCAGTCAGCTGGTGGCTCCTGACTATGCTGCCAGCAGCCATAGAGACTGAACTCACAGCACAGGCTAGGGTACATCAGCTACAGAACAATCAGCCACTGGAAAGGGATGCCAGGTTAACTCACGGTGAAACACTGGGGACTTTAACATCCTGCCTGTGTTAAGATGTCAAGCTGGAGACCTCATCAGAGTCAGGGCTATTGTGACTAAATCATCCAGGGACGTAAGTCCTGGTACCCAATGGAGAGCCCTAGTGGGGAGGACAGTGAGGACTGGGATGAGCCCACAGAGGTTCCTGTCCTGTCTGCCTGCCCAATAGTCACCCCCAAGATAAAAGCTGACCAACCATGCTCAGAGAAAGTAGCCCCACAAGACCTACCCCTGCCCAAGAGAGGACAACACACCGCCATGCTAGATTACACCACCACAGAATTTGTGTAGTTGGACCTTAAGTTCAAACAAAAGGGGAGAGAGTCAGTCCCTGGTGGCTTCTCCACTTAAGAGATACAGAGGAAGAGGATATCATACATATAGAGACCATGATGAACAAAGCAGAATCCATAACAAACCACCCATCCCTGAGGCAGTGCCTATACTGTGCCATTAATGACAAGCATGTCATTTCTCTCCTTAGCTGGGTGGTTGCCAGTCACAGAGGGACCTGGCCAAATAAGGGAAACTTTCCCAGACTCCTGTAGGGTAACAATATAGAGGAGTTACAGGACATCCTCTGGGAATTAAGGATGAAGTATGCTATCTATGGTAAGCATTACTGAGGCCTTAACAATGAGCTTTTTACCACTGACATAAAAGATGCAATCCTAAGATTTTCCAGCAAGATGGTGATGGAAGAGGTCAGACTGTGAGAGTCTCTGCAAAAGCGAGTGCCCATAAAGACTCTCTGTGTGAGTGGGTGTGTGCCAGTGGGTGAGTGAAAGTCTGTCTGAAGGGGGACTTGGGTTCATGCACCCGGGGCTCTTCTGGAAGTGACTGCAACACCCCACTGCCCTGAGATTGGAACCGCCAGCACACAGGATTGTCTGCTGTTCTCTGGCTCTCCTGAAAAAAGGCTGAGGAATACAGCTGATCCTCATCACCATCTGGTGCCTGGCCCACACCATTACCTGGATCTGTGGAGAGAGCAGGTTGGGGAGCGCTGGAGAGGAGCCCCACCACCAGTGAGGAAATGCCCCACCGGAGCCATTCTTTCTCTCCCGGGACCAGGCAGAGACCTGTATTTTCCCA